CACAGTCCCCTCGTGGATGCACTGCTGAAGGCACCAAGCTGGAACCCTCTTTCCTGCCACATGAAGGGATGGACACACACAACACCTGGATAAGGGCAAAAGCAATTCCCTGCCACCAGCTCCAATTCCCTGCAAAGGGACCCAGCTGAGTTTTGACTGAACTCTTCCTTTCCTGGGAAAGCCCCAGTCCCTAAATGCCCTGGGTGCAAATCCCACCACTCTACAAGGGAATGAAAAGGAGTCAGACATGTCTCTTTCCTCTCCACAAATCACTGCAGTGAAGTTCTGTGGTTTGATAAGGCATTTTTATCTTCTGTGAGAATCCAAGCACAGGCAGGAAATCTGCCAAGTCGTGTGAACTTCATCTCCCAACAGCTTGAAAATCCAGGATCTCCTGCTCTCTCCTCAGATGGAACAATCCTTGTCCCAGTGGGCATTGTTTATTTAACACCAGTACAGAACAGGGCTAAATAAACCCCTCAGCAGCTGGACCTTGGTATCTTTCACAAAGAGGGACACACAAATGAGCACTTTTTGCAGCTCTCTGGCTTTATCCCACAACCTGCCTTTTTACAGTACCCCTATATATAAATTAGAAAGAGATAAAGCCAAGGATTCACTGCAGTGTCCATGAGAAAGTCCAGTCTGTGTACCAGTCCCTCGGGATGGTGCTCACTGGGGTGTGAAGGTCAGGATCATCCAGCTGATGACAAAGTAGAAGAGGAAGATGGGGTACACGACGAGAGCCTTGCGGTTGGGGGGCTGGCTGTCCGCCAGGAACGCTGTGGATGCTGCAGAGACACAAAACAGATGGAGCAGGAGCAGCAGAAACCCTCACAGCCCTCACTGCATGGAGCCAACTGCAGTGAGGATCTGCACTGCAGTTGTGTTGAAAAAGAAAGCAATGCTCAAACCAACAGGCTGTAATCACCGAGTGCAACTTATCAGACAGAATGACAAGTCATACAATCATGGAATCACAGCATGGTTTGGTTTGGATATCCAGTTCACCCCCTGTCACAGTGACACCTTCCACTAGCCCAGGTTGCTCCAAGCCCCGCCCAGCCTGGTCATAAATGCTGATTTAACACTGTTTAATGAGAGCCAGACTTACAGATAGAGAACAGGAGAAATAGTGCAAATGCATCTCTATAAAATCAGCATTTTCTAATAGTATTTATAACATAATCATATAATAAACCACCAAACAGTCTCACAGAGTTTAATACATCATCATCCCGCTGCCCAAGGCAATTTGCATATGACCATGGAAATCACCAGGAGCAGAGGCTGAACCTCTGCCAGCTCAAGGACTGGAAGGACTATTTCTACAGCCCTTCAGCAGCCCAGGGACACCTCGGGCTAGAGCACTGGTTTTGCCTGAGGGAATGAACAGGGATCAAGCTCCCCAAGCACAGGCACAGGTGAGGGACTCACCCAAGGTGGACCAGCCGAACATGGCCCCCACCACGATGAGGCGGATGATGAAGCTGACGGTGCCCGCGCCCGCCAGCAGCACCAGCCTGCACACCAGCATGGCCACGGTCAGCGGCATCACACAGTAACCCAGCACACACAGGCTCTGGAAGAAGGAGCTGCACAGGGAGACAGCAGCAGGGAAACAGCAGTCAGAAACTGCCAGAACTCAGTGCAGAGGAGGGCGTGAAGTGCCCCAGAACAAACCCGCACTCACATGGTCCCTCCCAGAAGCTTCGAATTGAGTGTGATGACAACGGCCCCAAACCAGATGATGACAAAGACCTCGGCAAACTGGGGCCCTCCGTCATCCTTGCTGTCTGCAGAGCCACCCTGCAGCATCCTGGAGTGGGGAACAGGGAGAAACAGCTGCAGTGGGGAATAGACAGATGGAGGAATCAGCACTGACAGAGTTTTCCCAGACTGGAATAGGTGCCAGAGCAGGAGCCCCAACACTGATCCCCAGTTACGCTGCAGGCCCATCCATTTTATATTTTCATTATATCCTCAGTTTTGCACAGGAAAGGAAAACGGTTGTGACTCAACTGTGGTGATTTCAGTCCATTTGTTTCCCTGTTTTGAAGGCTGTGAAAGCATTCAGAAGGGAATCAAGCCATGGACAACAGGCAGAAATGGAAATTAAAGTACCAAACTTTTAGTATCTCTCAAAGCAGCAGAGTAGTGTGTCATTGAACAAACCAGCCTCAGAGAAACCTTGGAATAACTACGGGATGCAGTCACCACAGCTGAATCAGGACAACTTGAGATACTTTCAGCAAAACCACTCCTAGGCCAGGAGACCAGGAAGAGTTCATCCTTAAATCCTAAATTTAGGGACAGGAGGTGCTAATGGGCTTGAAGTATCACAAACATTTTATCAGAGAACCCAACCAAACAGTGCTTGCACAAGACAGAGAGGGATCAGATGAAATCAATCTTAACACATTAATCAGTAATTTTTAACCTCTCATTTGCCTCATGCAGTGGGCTACAAAACCCCAAATTCCCCCGGAATACTCACAGAGCCAGGGAGACACACAGCACCAATGGGCCCCATAGATCCCCTGCAGGGAAAAGGAAAACACATGACAAAAGTCACAGAACCATCTCAGTTCTGCTTTCCTGGGAGTGACAGAGCCTCTTGCCCTACTCCCAAGGTGCCATTTTCCACATCTCACTGCTTTACAATTTTCTTATTCAGCATCTTACACCATGATCTATAATAAAACTCATTCAAGACCCACCAGTTGCTCAAGCTCCCACTTCCACCCATCCTGGCGAACACCACCCTGTCACAGAGCCCTGGTGACACCTCAACTGTCAGCTCTGCTGCTCAGGATGTTCAGCACTCCTGAATCCCTGTCCTGCTCGATTCTGCCTCTCCTCTAGAGGCCAGGAAGGCCCCAGCACTTACAGTCCCTGAGGAGTGCGCTGCTCTTCTTGGGATACATGACATGGACAAACTTCTTCCCAACGGCCTTCAGGTCCCTCATCTGAAACAAACACAAAACACTTTACTCTATTCCCTCACAAAAATTACAGCTCCCAGCTAAAGCAAAGAGACAGAAGCAAAGGAACATAGATAGCAGATCAGGAGAGGATCCAACCCAACAAGTTCTGTAGCATCCTCTTCAACAATGACTACATTTCCTTAACATTTTCCTACATTCCTTTACAACCACAGCATCACATACTTTTCTTTAACAACCACAATATTCTATCTTTTAATAACACCAGAATATAACCAACAATTTGTTTGCTCCTCTAGGAAAAGAAAATAAATGAAAAATACCTTCAGTCAGTAGAGTTTCTCACAAGCTCCCACTGAGGCCTCTGCCTTCACATTAATTTCAGGATTACAGAGAAACTTTGGGCCACAATTCAAATACTTTTTGACCCACAGGAATTTGTTTTAGATTATGAGCTCTAAAACAATCTCCTCCGAAGTGGAGGTTGAGCAGAGCTGTGCAAAAGCATAGGTTTTGCATAACAGCTGCCAAAGACACCACAGAACCTGAGTTTTACCCCAGCCATGGGCTCAGACTCACAATTGTGTCCTTGACTGGCTCATCCAGTGTGGAGTAATCCTCCTCAGGAGAGTGAGATCCCACAGGGACAGTGATCTCCCCTTCCACTGGAATATCCTGGGGTATCGACACATCTGCCAGACCTGGGAACTGAATGGGTACAAACTTTTAGGAAGAAACACAAACATGTTCGTGCGTACTTCAGATGGGTTGGGGATAGACAGAGCTGCTCAGAATTCAGGGATACAATAAATAAAAGGTTCTGCAGCAGGGCCAGGCTGTCACTGCCTGATATGAGCAGGTCATGGCCTGCAGAGCTGAGCAGGTGTGTGTGAGCCTGTCCCTTGTCACCCCCAGAACCCGCCCTCTGTGCTCTGTTCCGGCAGCAGCAACAGAGAAGTAAAAACCTGTGTTTTAAGGGAGGTGATGCCTGAGGGCTGCACAGCCGCACCACCCCCGAGTACCCGCATTGAACAGCCCCGGGGAGCGACACGGACACCCCTGGCACACACGGAGGCTGCTCAGCGATCAGGCTTTACCAGGCTGATGCCCTCCCTGCCTGCGGGCGAGGAGAGCTCTGGAGTGCCCGGAGGTGAAGGCAAACAGGGCACAGCCCGTCCGGTTCTACGGCAAAGGCTGGGGCAGGCGGGGCAGGCAGGGCACGGCGGCTCCCCGGCCCTGCGCCTGAGCCTGTCCCCTTTCCTGTCTTCTTGCCCTGTCGCCTTCCTCGCCTCTGTCCTCGGCTCCTTTGCCCGTCCAAGCCCTTCGGACGAGCCGCCGCCCGCTCAGGCCTCCAGACCCCGCTCCGCTTTGCCCGGCACCTGACCGACTGCCTGGCCCTGCTTAGGGACAGAGGGAGGCCCGAACACCCGCGGCCCGCCCGCAGTCCGACCTCCCCGGTTCCCTTCCTGACCTCTCCAGCTGCGCTCAGGGCCGCCCCGGCCGCACTCACCAGGGTCCCCCCGGCCCCGCTCCCCTCGGCCGCCGCCATCTTGGCCGCCCCGGCGACGTGGAGGCCACTTGACGTCATCACCGTGCGCCGGCGCGTCACGCGTCGCCGCCGGCGCGTCCATGGCAACGCGTGCGGGCGGCGCCGCCCCCGCCCCGCCGGCAGAGGGCGCACTCAGCGCGGCGCGTGGGGCGGCAGCAGCGCCCGGCCCGGAGCGCACGGAGCGGAGCGCACGGAGCGGAGCGGAGCGGACAGAGCGGAGCGCGTCCCGCACCGTGCGGAGCGGAGAGGAGCGGCCGCGTCGGGCCGGGCGGGCGGCGGCCCATCCCGGACTACACCTCCCGGCGGCAGCGGCGCGGCCGGAAACGCGGAGAGCGAGCGGGCGGGGGTCCCTCGGCCGAGGCGCGGCAGCGGGAGCGGGCGGGGAGCGGCGGGCGGGGCCGGGCGGGCGGGGCGGGCCCGCGGGATGCCGGCGGCGCGGGGCGCCCGGGGCGGCGGCGGCAGCGCTCCGTAGGCGCAGCGCGGCGGAGCCGGGCCGAGCCGCGGCCATGGGGCACCCGCCGCTGGAGTTCAGCGACTGCTACCTGGACAGCCCCGACTTCCGAGAGCGCCTCAAGTGCTACGAGCAGGAGCTGGAGAGAACCAACAAGTTCATCAAGGAGGTGATCAAGGACGGCAACGCGCTCATCGCCGCCATCCGCGGTGAGCGGGCCGGGGCGGGGGTCCGGGCAGGGCTCGGCCGGTCCCTGGGGTGTGTCCCGGTCCCTGGGCATCGCCTGCAGCCCCGTGCTGGAGCCGCTTGGGGCCCGTGCCCTGCATCGCTCCGGGGAGGGCTGGCGTTCCCCGGGCAGCGGCCGCCACCCCCGGCGCGTCCGTGTCCCCGCAGTGCCACCCCCGGGGCCACCCGCAGCTGTCCCCACGCAGGGACAGACCGGATCCCGCGTCCCGCTGGGTTGGCACCGGCGGCGGGACTGGTCGAGCCTTCCCAGCGTGTGTGTGCTCGTTTGGGGACAGTGATCCCTGTTGGGGAAGCTGCTCCGTTATTCTGCATCTCCCGATGCGAGGGGAGCGTGGCGGGTTCGTCCTCGGGCACCTCCTCACCCTGGGGAGCACCGTGAGCATGAGAGGGGCCCTCCAGCGCCCTGCTCTCAGCCCTCCTTTTGTTGTCGGTGTTCTGTCGTTCTTCAAATCACGGTGAGCATTTTTCCCAGTGACACGTCGATTCCGATGTTGACTTTGCGGGAGTCGCCTGCTCAGAAGTGCTGACAGATCACCAGAGCACCTGGGCCAGGTTGTGTCACCTGAAACCACCACGTGTTTTGACAGTGACCTTCTGACTGCTTAGATTTGCTGTCCCTCCCACAGCTGTGGATACACCTTCATATGCACCTTCCCTGTATCTTCTCCCATGCCTTCCTGGACTTCATGATCTTAGTTTTCCAATCCAAATGATTTCACGATTCTCTGCTGTTATCAATGCAGTAGAATCCAGGCCAACAGAGCATCCATGAGGGCAGTGGAGGGACACAGACAATCCACGCTGGTCACACACGGTTTTCCTGCCAGCTGGTTGGTTTCAGTTGGTGTTAATAGGTTTAGCTGCTGCCCTTTTGTTCAGAATAATTCAGAGCTTCCTTGTTATCGAGGCCATGGCTGGAATAGCCCATGTTTGCCCATCTGGAAGCAGCAGAGACAAAAGCTGGTGTGACTGAAACTGCCGACCTCACAGGGCTGTGAGACCTAACGTGGGTACAAAACCCAAATCTCTGCACAGTCGAGGGCAAAAAAAAACCCCAACAAAATGGAAATCAGAAGGATTAAAACAAACCTGCTTGCTAATGGAAATGGGTTTTTTTTCATCACTTTGTTTAAAACCATTTCCCTTTTCAGTGTCTGTAGTGCACAGGGATGTGAGGGATTTCGCTGGGTCAGCAGACCCGGCCCAGAGAGACTGGCCAGGGAGGAAGGGCAGAAGCAGAAGAAAGCAGAGCACACCCAGACAGCACTGACAACCCCCAGGGCTGAGGATTTCTTTCATGAAATGCTGTGGGGTGTTTTTGTAGCTGATCCAGCAGGCTTCCAGGGAGGTGCTGGGGCCAATCTTGCCTGGGCTTCCATCAGCTCCCTGTGTTTAGTTAACAGATAACTTAAAAAAATAGATATATATCTGAATCCTAGCCATGTGGAGCTGTGGGTGGGAACCTGGGGTGCTCCCTGGCCATGGCCTCACCATGACCAACAGGCAGATCCCGATGTCCATGGCTGACAATCCCTCTGTGCCCCTTGACGGGAGGAGTGGAGGTGCCCTCAGCTGCTGGGATGCAGAAGTGGTGGTGGTCCCATCACCAGAGAGTGAGAACCAGTGAGAATGGAGGCCTACAAGAAAGGTGAAGAGGGACTTTGGACAAGGGATAGAGTCACAGGACAGCGGGGAATGGTTTCAAACTGAAAGAAAGCGGAGTTAGATGGGATAATGGGGAGAAATTAATGATAATTAATTTAAGATAATGAGTCGTGAGGCACTGGCAGAGGTTGCTCGGAGAAGCTGTAGCTGCCCCATCCCTGGAAGTATTTGAGGCCAGGTTACCTGAATGAGAAGGGAGGGTTTAGGGGGTTTTAAACTCCTTTGGCCTTTCATGGATTAAGAGAAACTGGTTCCACTCCTTCCACCCAACTGATGTGTCACCAGCTAGAACAAATGGAATTCCAGGGGTGAAGCTCTTCCTGCAGCCCACCATATCCTGGGGAGGGTCATCCTGCAGTCACAGCCCTACCAGTGCTGGCTTTGAGTTTGGTATTTTCTCTTGTTGACTGACACCCCCCAACTGCTGAGTAGTCACATCTACATGGGACACAATACAGGGACAAAGTATTCGGTGTTGCCAAGTGGGGAATTAAACTGACTAAAGCAGAGAATAATATTATTCATTTGTAACAGTCTTGGGTGTGAAAGCCAATAATAGAAAATAATACTTGGAGTCAGAAATGGAAATTATTTTTGTTGTAAAGTTGGCTGAGACCCTTGTTTTTCGTGCCAGGAGTACGGAGAGTCACTGGCAGTGCCAAGTGACAATGCTGGTCCCACACGTTGTACTGGCAGTGCTGGGACCACCGTGGCCTGTCCCTGTCAGGAAGGGACAAGGACTGGGAGATGTCTGTCCCTTCATGGTGCTGCCCATCCCCTTGTGCTGGCCACGATCAGGACCTGATGTGGGCACTGGGGATTCATCTCCAAGAGCAGCTTGTCCATGCCCAGAGCTCACCATGGCCAGCACTGGTGTGACAGTGGAGCCTCTCTCAGGGCACATGCTCCAGGCCACCAGCGTGTCAGAAGTTGTGTCTCCATGGCATCACTGTGGCTGCTTTAAAGCAGTTTCTTTCTGTGCTTCAGTGTGGGTTTCTTTAATCTCTCCTGCTCACTGCACTCTGCTGTGTGTATGATAATGCAAAACCGCCTATTTCCCCTGGTCTTTGATCTTATCTCCCAATTAAATATCAAATGGAGTTGGAGAAATGTCAGATGGAGTCTTTTCTCATTAGTACCTGTGAGTGCTGTGATGGTGAAAGTTGTCCTTTGAAGCTCGAAGAGCTGTGAGTTCTCATGCAAATGTTGTGTATGTGGTTTTATACTTGATTTCTGTCCAGCGAGGAGCTCTGCAGAGTGCCTGGGACTGTGCTGGCAGTTCCCAGCCCCCCCGGTACTGTGAGCACTTCATTCTGAAGGGTAACCTGATAAAGGAATGTCTAGGGACTATGTGAGCTTTTCCACACAAATAGGGTTCCTTGGGACCAGGGAAGGTCCCACCATCATCATCATCCCTGCAGGTCCTGCAGTGCTGTGTGTGGGAGCTGATGTCCCCTGAGGGAACTCCTGTGTCCCTCAGCATGGCAGACCTGTTCTGGGCAGGTTTTTGTGCTGCTGTTGGATGTGGTGCCTGGGGGTTTCATGCTGTGGAGTGTGGGAAGCAGTGTGGCATTGGAACAGGTTATTTTAATGGGATTTAAGCCACCTAGAGTAGCCTGTCTGCCCAGTTCCTCAGAACTCCACGTCCTGGTTCATGGGAAGGCTGTGGGGACAGTGCTGGAATCTGTTCCTGCAGTACAGATCCTGGGGACTGTGTCCAAACAACCCTAAAGCTCCTCTGGAAAACGGGGAAGAAGAAAGAGTCAATCCCACACCAGGAGAGGCTGCAGCTCTCCAGGCAAGCGTCAGCTTTGCTGTGAGGCACAGCTGGGCACTGAGGTGCAGTGACAATGTCCTGTCCTACAAAGACAGCTCAGCCATGGGACAGTATGGAGCAGGGGGGAAATGAGCTGCTGGAAAATAAATCACTCTGCTCCAGCAATAATGTGATCTCTTGTACTTGTCGGCTCCTTGCTGGTCTTCCTCATCCTCGCCGGGGATTTCAGCCAGTAAGGGCACCAGTTACTGCTGGTAACTTATAAAATTGTGTCCTGACTTCCCAGCTCTGTCTCAAAAGACACCACACCCATAGCCAGACCCCAGCTCTCCCTGGGAGCATCCTCAGCACAGGTGGGCACAGGGGGTCTCTGCAGCCAACAGCTGCTGATGGAGCAGCTCCTGCTCCTGGGCTGCAAGCTCTGAGCACAGGACTAGGGCCCCAGTTGGTGTAAATCTAAACCAGACATGCTTTAACCAGAGAACACAATAGCAGAAAAAGAACAAAAACCCTCCCAAAAGCCAAGTCACCCCCAGCGCCAGAGCTGTATCCTCAGTGCAGGCAGGAGAGACAAGGGGCCGGCACAGGATTTACCAGATCCAGCTGTGAGGCAGATCCCACCCCGTGTTCCAGGACTGGGAGATGTGTTTGCTGGGTTTTGCTCCCCCCGGAGCAGCTCTCTGGCTGGGCAAGTTGTCACTGTTGGGTTTGCTTTGCTGGTGGCTGAGTTGCCAGGCTGGGCACAGGATGGTTTGACTGTGACACGATGGCCCCAGGCCTGGCTCTGTGTCCCTCACTCCCTCCCTGCTGTACTCCTGAGCTCCCCAGCCTCCCCCCTGGGAACTTCTGCTGGTTACAGCTGCTCCATCTATGCCCAGGTGTGCCCAGGGCTTGGTTTGTTTTAGGAAGCCCAGGGCAGGAATGTGGGCAGGGGTGGCTGGCAATGGCACCAAGCCAGCTCCATCCCTGCCAGCTCGGGGGCTGATGGGAGGGCTCTGGAGCAGCCTTGGTCCAGCTTAAACAAACCGGTGTTCACTATTTTGTGATGGCTTTTTCCAGCCCACATATCCTTCCCAAGGACTTGCCTGTGTACAGCAGCACAAGGGGACAAGAGGTGAAGTAATTTTCATGGGTTTAAGGATATCTTTTCTTGTGCTGCACATGAGGCATGCAGGGAGCTTTTCATCCATCTTCTACTGCCTTTTCTGGCTCCTTCCCTGGGAGGATGTGGGTGTTATCCATGTTCTGTGTGTCTCACAGCCCACAGCTCGCAGCAGCACTGCTGCTGACCTAAGAGTTTCCTCTTGAGTCACTGAATGAAGACTCAGCTTTTCTGGCTTTTTTCTTGAGGTATTGTTGGAATATTTTATTTCCTAATGCTGTTGGTGGCACACTGGCAACTACAGATGTAGCATCCCATGCTTGTACCCAGGCTTTTCACAGGTGGCTTCTGTCCTGCTGGGCACCAGCCTGGCTCTGTGGAGTGACACTGCTCTGTTCTGCAGTGCACAGACAGACACC